CTCCTTCAAAATAAACGGTCAAATACGGGAACTATCCGGTCAACACAACACAAACCCTGCTTTTAACTGTTCAGTTTTCTTGTGAAAATTGTTTGAAAGAGATCAAATTTAACTTGATTAACACCAGAGCCGCGCACTGCGCTGTTATCTCCGTGACTGTAAATGAGGGGAAAACAAGTTGATCGGATCCTGCACGTCTTTTAACACATTGGTCAGGATTGACGCACTTTGTTTTCATTTAGTTTTTAACCCTTTAACGCCGATGCGTCACCAGGATCACCGGTGACGCCTCGGCGCATGTGATTTCAAATAACTCCTCGCTACTTAAACTATAAAATTCTTAAAAAAAAACATAAAGGAGCTACTATGTGGTGCTTAAAGGGTTAATGAAATCAAGGCCGTTTCATATTCTATTCTCCTCTGTAATCGGGCAGTGATTGAGGTCGCTTTTCTAAGAGAGACCTGAATGAGATATTTTAACACAATCGGAGAAACTCCTCCAAATGTCTGACTTGCCTTGCTTTGGTTTTTGTGTCATAAAGACCTTGTTTCAGCTTCTTTTCAACATCAGTTGCCGACTCCATCATACTCATCCCGATCCCGCACTGTTTCTTTTAGCCGACCATTCCCACCCGCAGCAAAATTCACACCGCCCGCCTCCGCAAGATTTGTGTTGGGTCCTGCGGGAGCCGGCGGGACCCAATCCCGATGCAGCCCTCTACCGCAGATATCTACTAAATTGAAAACGTAGTTTAACTGAACGTAACTGAACTGATCAGTATCAAACAAAACAGAAAAGTTATTGATAGAGTCAGAATATGGGGATGTGCTCTACTTTACCAAGGTACGTTGGCTCAGCAGGGGAAACGTACTGAAGAGATTTTTTGAGTTGAGAGCAGAGGTGAAAGCCTTCATGGAGAAGGATGGAGTGGCTGTTCCTTTGCTAAGTCATCCCAAATGGCTCATGGACTTAGCTTTTCTTGTTGATATCTCACATGAGCTGAATTTACTGAACAAAAAGTTACAAGGCCAGGGGCAACTTGTCAGTTCTGCCTATGACAGCGTGAGAGCATTCTCCACAAAACGTGTTTTATGGAAAGCCCAGCTCTCTCAGACAAACCGTTGCCATTTCCCAGCATGCAAGACACTCGTGGATGTGGGCACACCATTCAGTGCCGAGAAGTATGTTGGTGTCATTTTGGGGCTACATGAGGAATTTGATCACAGATTTGCAGACTTCAAGAATCACAGAGCCACTTTTCAAATTTTTGTTGATCCCTTCTCTGAACTCAAAGCCAAGTTCAGGGAGGTGAATGGAAAAGCAGACAAGCTTGGGCAGTTTCTCCGAGAGTTGACCCCTAGTTTCCCTGAACATTCCTGAATGTTCAAGCGGATGATGTGCCTTTTTGGGAGCACATACTTGTGCGGAAAGCTCTTCTCCACCTTGAACTTCAACAAGTCCAAGTACAGGTCCAGACTTACTGATGATCACCTTCAAGCCATACTGAGGGTCTCAACTGCTTCCTCCCTTAGGCCAAATGTCGCTCAGCTATGTGAGAGGAGGCGCTGCTAGGTCTCTAGCAGCAAGTATTTGGCAAGAGAAACTATGTTCAGAAGAACAGTTCATGTTCCACTAATGTTCAGACGAAGGTTTAAGAACTGTTAATCCAGACATTTAAATCTGAATACGGCCATTATTGGTTTCTAAAGAAACCAAATAGTCGCTGAGAAATCAAATTATTTTATTTATTCATTACTAATTTGTTGTATATTTTTCCATCTTATTTAGTGTTAAATGGAAAAAGAGAGATTTTAGAAGATGTTTTTTTTACAATGCTTTTCTTGTGGAAAACCTAATGTGGCCTAGCCTCACCTAGAATCTGCCTTCAGCGGCCCTCAGCTAAACTGAGTTTGAGACCCCTGTGCTATACAATTTAAATGGTATGGTACTTAGGCTAATATGTGTTTGTTATTGCAACAATCCCAAAATATGACTAATATTGTCCAGAATGTTCTACACAAAAATTCCTCTGAAGTTTCATTGGAAGAGAACATTTTTCACATTAATATCGTTATTTATTTTCAACAACTAAATACGATCAATCATTTCTTTTCAGTTTGCCTCGTTCTGACTGCCTTCAGACTGTCCTGATTACTCTGATTTTAGTGTGTGTGTGTGTGTGTGTGTGTGTGTGTGTGTGTGTGTGTGTGTGCGTGCGTGCGTGCGTGTGTGCGTGCGTGCGTGCGTGTTAGGGGTGCACCGATTGCAGTTTTTGGTCAATCTCCAATCTTGAGAAAAAACCTGACTTGCCGATACTGATTTTGTCTTAACTAAAAGCAGATTATGTCAATGTTTAAGTTTCCTTTTATTTAGAAAACCAATATGGATACGCATATTCACATGTTTTTATGCCGGTTTGCTAACAACATGTTTATCTGTGTTTACACAGAAATGGGTGTCTTTGGGGCTGCCAGCGGAGTTTACAACTGTGCTTTGCCATAAAGTAGTCCCAAGTCTAAAGTAGTGCCTGTGATTCTTTCATGTTACTAATAATTTTCCCTTGCAGTCCAATTATTTAGGTCACCAAGCAGTATTGGGATCACTACTGAGTAGGGATGTACACTGTTAAACGGTTAATTGCCGTTAATGTTGTAACCGGGTTAAATAGTTTTGCCCGGTAAACTGCTCCAAGTCCTGCTGTGCTTGAATGTAATATATTTTGTTCCACTAGGTGGCGCAAGAGTGTCACTATTTAAATATGTTTACTGGGCAACTGCAGAAGAAAAAAATAAGCTTGTCACATGACCAGACAAATGTGCTCAAACATGATTGATTGGTTTCTTGTTAACCTCCCTCAATGGAATTGACATCTGTGGTACTGTGCTGTTTGATGAAACAGTACATGTCAGGGTGTCCTTTTATTGTGGGCAGTCTATGGTACACCTGTACATTATTCATGCTGTGTAATCAGCCCCTTGATATGCCACACCTGTGAGGTGGGTTGGATCATCTTGGTAAAGCAAAAGTGCTCACTAACACACATGTAGACAGATTTCAGAACAAAATTTGAGAGTCACGGCTGTTTTGTGTATGTAGACACAGTTTCAGATGTTTGAGTTCAGCTCAGGAAAAATCTTAATTTCCCATAAACTTAAAGCATTCACCCAACATCAGGGGTGGACCTTTAAAGCGCCCGAGCGCCAATGGCGCTAAATTTTCTCGTCGGGCGGTAAATACTTGACGACTTACCGCCCGGGTGGCGCCCAAGCTTTATTTGTCATTTACACACCGGCTTTCACCTACGTCATGGCCCCGCCCTGTAGGAAGCTGCCGTTTTCGTTTCGCGCGCGTGAACCTCTAGCCACGTACTGCACTTGTACGATTCGTGCACGTCCTGCACGATTCTAGTTATTGTCACGTGAACTATAAGTTCACTATTAAAGACGAAGTGGAACCACGCTAGAAACACACAAGCACGCAGGAAGATCGCGCCACCACAGGGATTGGATTTCTTGATGAAATCTCCGGCAAAACGCTTTAAAACTGGTGAGGAGAAGCGAGACAGTTCGAAACGGTATGAAGCAGAGAAGCGTGTGCGTAGGTGGAATGATTCTTGGAGGTTTAAAGAAGACGGGAGGCACGGAGAATGGCCGTATTTGAGTTGAGTAGCGGCTCGCCTGGAAAACAGACGAGAGCAGACGGAGGCAGCAGGGGGAGTGGCTGAAAGCCGGCGTTTAACGCCGGGGACACACCGGCCGCGGAAGCGCCCGAAGTGAATCGCTCACGAAGTCCGGCCGCTGCTCGCCGCTCCTCAGTTCAGATCAGACGCGCCCCATTCGAGGCGCGCCTCGGCTCAGCTGTAGTTTTTCTTTTAATTACTTGGTGTCCTCCATTTCCTCAGCTCTTTTCCTCTGTGTGTGTGTGTGTGTGTGTGTGTGTGTGTGTGTGTGTGTGTGTGTGTGTGTGTGTGTGTGTGTGTGTGTGTGAGAGTGAGAGTGTGTGAGAGTGAGAGTGAGAGTGTGTGGTGTGAACCAGTTGTTTCTGCCAGTTGAATCTCTTGGACTTCCCTACATGTGTAGCTCGGGGGTGACGATGGATGAAGATATCGCGTTAGCATTCACACTTGTTCAATTTTCAATTTTAATTCTGGTGCCTGTTAGCAGCAGAAACACATCCTCACGCGCTTGTGGATATCATATATTCTATATGAAAACATGACTGTAATAATAAGTAAAGGTTATCAGCTGTTCAGTGTGCTCATAGGAAACGTGACAAAAGAACACAAAACACATTTCTCCTTATGGCCTATATTGTTGTTATCATCAACATAACATGATTTACAGAATACATGTGACCAACTAACATTTCATGTTCTACCACCGGATGTTTGGATCAAAATGTGAACCAATCAGATCTTAGATCAGGTGAGAGCCAGGTGTTTCCCATCATCCTCTAGGTTTTGCAGCCGGTAGAGAGCAACTGCAGCGCCTTGCTCCAAAATCTGCGGCCGCCTTGATCTCACGAGGTTATCGATGCCTACGTATGCATGACGTCAGAGCAAGTCGGGTCAATTCGGACACAAATCTAACCGGCATGCACCGCTCGCCGATCACTGCTGGTCTACTCTGCGCAGAACTGGCTCATCTCGAACACAGTCAATGGCTTGAATACAGCAAAGCGGCGTTGGTGATGTACTGCGTTGTATGCCAGAAGTATGCGACGACAAAATCGTGTTTTGTTGAGGGAACAAACAAATTCAAACTTGAATACGTTATTATGTTTGTGAATGTGTACAAAATAAAGGTTTGTTACATTTAAAACGGTTCAGTTGTTATTTTGACTCGTTTTGGCGGCTGACCAGTGGGGCCGGTAAATATTCAGAGTTACCGGCCTGGCTGGCCGGTTGGTTTTGAAGTTAATGTCCACCCCTGCAACATTTATGCGTGAATATAAAGTTACAGCTTTCAGTAATTCACTTTTGTTTCTCTGTAACCTACAGATGTTGAGCAGGTGGTGGTGGTTAAAGAAGAAGCTCCTGAGGAACAGAGTGCATTTGTGGACCAGCAGGACCCAGAACACCTCCACATAAAGGAGGAACAGGAGGAACTCTGGACCAGTCAGGAGGAAGAGCTGCACCATTTGAAGGATGAGACTGATGCTGCCAGGTTTCCATTCACTATAGTTTCTATAAAGAGTGAGGATGATGAGGAGAACCCTCTGTTCTCACAGCTTCATCATCACCGAACAGAAGACCGAGATGTTCCAGTCAGCAGCTCAGCTGTCCAGATGACAGTGGAAACTGGAGGAGCAGGAACTAGTAGGAACCTAGATCTGAACCCCCATGAACAGACATTTGATTATTTAGAGACTGGAGTTAATGGAAAGGATGAAGAGGATGGTGTGAGTCTAGACTCTGAGCCATCAGACCCTGGGTTTGAAACTGGAGATGGAAACATTAACACTCGGTTTCACTCAGCAATAGGTTCTTCAGGCTGTTTGGTTAATAAGAAATGTGTTGGAATGACGCAACATCTAGACTCATCTGGAAAACTCCAGGCTAATGTAAAATCATTTAGTTGTGGTGAATGTGGAAAAAGATTTGGTAAAAAAAACATTTTAAACAATCACATAGCTGTCCACACAGGACAGAAGCCTTTTGCCTGTGAGCTATGTGGACAAAACTTTACCCAAAAGACACATTTTAACTCACACATGAGAGTCCACACAGGAGAGAAGCCTTATGCATGTGAGCTATGTGGACAGAAATTTGCCCAAAAGACACATTTAAACAGTCACGCCAGAGTCCACACAGGAGAGAAGCCTTATGCATGTGAGCTATGTGGACAAACTTTTAGCCACAAGAATAGTTTAAACAGTCACATTAGAGTTCACAGAGGACAGAAACCTTTTGTCTGTGAGCTCTGTGGACAAAGATTTGGCCAAAAGACACATCTCACCACACACACGCGAATCCACACAGGAGAGAAGCCTTATGCGTGTAAATTATGTGACCAAAAATTTAGCCAAAAATCAAATTTAACGAGTCACGTGAGAATCCACACAGGACAGAAACCATATGCTTGTGAGTTCTGTGAACAAAAATGCAGCAGTAAGGCAAATTTGAACAATCACATGAGCGTTCACGCAGAGCAGAAACCTTTTGCTTGTGAGTCCTGTGGAAAAGCATTTAGCCGTAAGAATAATCTAAATAATCACTTGAAAGTCCACACAGGACAGAAACCTTTTTTCTGTGAGCTTTGTGGAAAAAGATTTAGTCATAAAGTAAATTTAAGTAGTCACATTAGAGTCCACACTGGAGAAAAGCCTTTTGCTTGTGAGATTTGTGGACATAGATTTTGTGAAAAGGCTAATTTAAACAGACACATGCGAGTCCACACAGGACAGAAGCCTTTTGCCGCCGAAAATAAAGACCTCATTTAACTACATGAGTACTAAAAGAGATCCTTGTAGTTTTAACATCCTATGTGTAAGTCTTGTCTCCTTGATGGCAGTCATTCACCCTAGATCAGGGGTGTCCAATCCAACTCAGCCACTCACCTGACACGTTGACGATCGTAGCTGCTTGCCTCCTTAAGATAAACATCCTCCCCTTTTTTTCTAATGACAGAGGTGAACATGAAATTGTCCTCCCTGCTGCCAGTTTCTGTATCTGTTCTCCTGAGCGACGAGTCTGCTGTTTCTTATTGCTCGTCTGCACGCGCTTGTTAACGACTCTTTTTTTCCGACTGAGAAACTCCGAGAGCGCATGCGGGGGAGGGGTTGCTGCCAATTGTTGCCTCAGTGCCGCTCTCGGTCCTCCAGGCGACACCTTTTTCCCAGGTATTTATCTAACAGGATGTCTGGTTGAAATAAGTATCCACCCATGCCTTGACCCCCACTTTGACAAGTGTTGAACCATTTAATCTGGTGTAGTAGAGCAGAAAAACAACGAAAGCTTTCTAAAAATCAGCCATCAAGGATTGGGCATCGCTGCTGTAGATCATTGCCTTATCTGGCCCACGGGCAACTTCTTTCTGTCCTGTGAGCCTCACATTGTTGTCCCCAACACTGTTTCCATTAAGAGGTGGAGCTGTATCACGCGCTGCTCATCATTACATAATGAGCTGCTAGCCTAAGCTTTCCTTTTTGCAGTGTTGCGGCAGAGAGAGCTTAGCCTGGCATGTATTGTATGCTGGTAAATGGTTTGTGTAGGAATATTTGTCTTTTACCTGTAGTTTGTATGTTGTGAGTTGCATAAATACAACTACAGGTGAAATAAATACATTTGTATCACTATTGGTTCCAGCACTGGCATCAGCTAGTGTGGGACAGTCTTGCGTTTTCTTAACGGACTGTTACATTTTCATTATTAAAACTGCTAAAACTTGTATTACAAATTACAATAGTAACAATGGTTCTAAGGTGCACTAAGACATTGTGTTGATGTTTTATGTTAGGTTCTATGTTTATTAATATTTCTTTTTACTTAGCTTTTACAGATATGTCAATTTAGTTGTGTGATTATGTTTAATCTAAAGGGTGAAATGTGATTGTACTAAACTTCTGACATTGCTGTAGATGAACAAACATTATGTTTCAACACTGTTTCCTCTTTGTCCATGTTATGAGATATTCTTTGCACAGAGTGTTTCTTTTCCTTATCTTTTGGAAGTTATGACAAATATATAAGATACCTGTTGTAGACACGGGTACCTTGATGTATGAGTTAATAACTCTGAAAGGGAGAAGGCATAAAAGTGTACTTAGATGCTTCATAATCTCTGTCTCCTAGGATACAGTCACTGGAACAGTCAATGTTTGTATGATTGTATTCCTCTTTATATTAATTACAATTAAAACTTTTATGGATCAGGGTTTGTTTTGTCATTGTTTGATAATTCTACAATACAGTTCTGCAACAGTTGTGCGGATGGGAAAATGTTGTGAATTGTACTTTTACTCAATGCAATATGCAGCAACAGGTTGCTTCAGGGTTAGCTTTGAGGACTTATCGGCCACTTTGACCTGAGCGCTGCTTCCAAGCCCCCACAATGTGGCTCAGAAAGTGGTCTCTACCCGGAAGTACCAAAAATTGCAGTTCCACCCTCATCCACTGGGGGCTGGTGTCAGAAGCGAGCAAATCCTCATTGACTCCCATGTTAAAAATACCAATTTCACAGCAGAAATAAACATGTTAACAGCCTGGTACCAGAACATGTTTTTGGTTTAAATTATCTAGTTTACACTCATGACAACTCTGAGGGGGGTGGATTTTTTTCCCACTCTTCTGTTTAAGTGTATTAAAAGCCTAAAATTCTGTATAATTAATGAGCATCAGACCCACGTGACCACAGAGCCAGCTCCGTGGAAAGGCCTCAGTAGAGCCTCGGTCTGGCCTGGAAACTGTTCCAGGATTTTGAGTTTCTGTGTTTGTGTATTCTTTTTTGGATATTTTTTGTGCAATTGTTGGACAAAATGACTTGCTGTGGCATTAATTGCACTAATAGAGCGTCCAAGGAGTCTCCACTTCATTTTTTTCTGTAAGTAAAATTATATTTATGTATTTTAGGTCACTGCCGAGCTGAGCTTAGATTTTAACATGTACTGTTTAACCATGAAATTTTAATGTAATAGGGTAAAACCCAGTGCATTTAACATAATGCTGCACTTTAGAAAATGGGTTGAAATATAACATGTTGGTGGATCTGGGTTCCGACTATCGGCTGGCGGAGCTCTCGGGAGACCTCTGTTTTCCACCCATTCTCGCCTCCCCGCAGCTCGGCGCATCTCTGTCTGATCGCGGCTTCTGCGCGGGCTGACGGCTTGTGGAGCTCTGGGATGGAAACCTTTCCACCCGGTTCTCCCCAGCAGCAGCTCTGCTCTCCTTTTGCTACTGGATTTGGTTAAACAGAGAAGAAGGAGCAGATTCTGGGTGCACACACTGAAACCAACAAAGAAGAAGACCATCTTGTTGCAGAGCTGCGACTGGACAGCCAGAGGCACCACCAGTACTTCCACATGTCTGCAGAGCAGTTGGATGAGCTTCTGTCCCTTGTTGGACAAGAGTTGAGAAGACAATCTACATCCTTCAGAGCAGCTGTTGAACCTAAACAACGACTAGCTGTTGGAATAAGGTGAACAGTCTGACTCATTCTCAAATGCAGCACTCAAATTTTATTTAACAGAAACACTTCCAAAACAAGCACTTCCAAAACAAAAAATGTAAACATTTTTAAAAATAAAAATAAATATTAACTCAAAAAGGAAAGGAAAAATTCTCATAACCATGTAGCGCTTTGTTCAGCTATTTGTGCTTAAACATCACACTGAAAACAGTAATATAAAAAATAGGGTCCAGATAATAATCAAAAACACTCTCCAAGAAGTCAGAAGTAGTTCTGAAAAAGAATACCTATACCTGAGGCTCATCGACGTCCCAATTATCAACATCAATAAGCAAGCCCATATGTTCCCCAAACTGTCCTGCAGTTGAGGTAGATGGGACAAAGGCAGTATGAGTGGGGGTAGATGTGTGTGTAGAAGGTCGTGATGGGGAGGGGGTTTGCATGCTCGGCCGCTGCTGCTGGTAGGGGGATGGTGCTGCTGCTGGAGGCCCTGCAGCTGGTGGTGCTGCTGCTGGTGGAGGCCCTGCTGCAGCTGCTGCTGGAGTCCCTGTAACTGGTGGTGCTGCTGCTGCTGCTGGTGGTGCTGCTGCTGGTGGAGGCCCTGCTGCTGGTGGTGCTGCTGGAGGCCCTGTTGCTGATGGTGCTGCTGCTGGCGGAGGCCCTGCTGCTGCTGGTTGCGCTCAAGCTGCTGGTGATGCTGGATTAACTGCATAATGCCTAATTTTGCATTTTGCCTATTGGTGATCTCCATTCCACTGAGGAGTGGAACAATACTGAGGGCTAAGTGGTAGCACTCATCGGTTGCCCCTTCTGGCATGTACGGGCGCTGCGGTGGCTCTTTCAGAAGCTCTATCAGCTCGTCTCCAAAGTCCACCCCTTTAGATGCCCCACCTCTAGGTGCTGACTGGCCAGTAGGGTTTGGGGTCCGTTCCAATGGGCTACGCGACCGGTCTCTCCATGTGGAAGGTTCAGCAGCAGTAGAAGCAGCAGCAGATGCAGCAGTAGAAGGGGTGGACTGTGTTGAAGGACCTGCTGCCTCATCTGGTCCAGAAAGGCTCAAAGGAGTCGGAGGTTGGTCCTCTTCTGTGTCCATCTGGGATGCAGAGTCGAAGCTACTTCTTGAGCTGTGTGAAAAAGGATTTATTCTAGTAAAAACACAAGTAACCAAAACTTAAAATGGCAATCTAAAAATTGAAATTGTTTGACAGAATAGCAAATTTAAAAAAATTACCTGGCCATTTGTGAATAATCAGGTTTGCATCAACGAACCTTCTTGGTTGCAGATATGGAATTAGAAAAGGCATAGTCTTTTCAAATTTCCACTCCTTTTGTGTCCCTGCAGCAGATCCACTGGGTAGATTGGACTTTTTTCGGGACTTCACATAGCTGTTCCAAAGTGCCCTACATTTGTTTTTACATTGATCACCTGAAAGAAGAATAAATAGAAAATCAGTCAAAAATAAAACAATTTTTTGCGTTGTTTTTCTGCCGACAGGTTTTTGGCCTCCGGTGACTCCTTTGTCAGTCTGGCTTTCAGCTACTGTCTTGGCCATACTACAGTCAGAAATTCCGTCCACATGGTGTGTGCTAGTGCTACTATTGAAAAAGTGATGATGGGCCAATATCTGCCACCCCCAACTGAAGAAATGTGGAAGACTGTGGCGCAAGGCTTCTGGGAGAAATGGAAATTTCCCTAACTGTTTGGGGGCATTGGATGGAAAACTGTTGAAGCTAAGCTCTTGGTTTTGGCTAAAACACTGTGATTTTGATACAGAATAATTACCCAAATGGATCTTGACGAGACGCTACAGTTTTACCGGAGTAAAATCCTATCTCTTTTTGCACGACGTAACTATTTTAGCTTCGTCGGTGGTTCGGCTTCCCTCCCGGACGTCTCCGGAGGAAGAAATTAAGGTGGGACACCTTCCGTTTTTAGTAAAATATTGAAAATAAAACACAGAAATAGTGTTTTAATTGAGGAAAAATGGCTCGCCAGATGTTGAATAAGACTAATTATTGAAAGAGTAGCTGGCTACATCCAATTATTGAAAGAACTGAGTAGTTCCAGTTATTGACAGACTGGCTGGCATGCCAATATGTAATGGAGTGAAACCTCGCACACACAGCTCTAACACTGTGCTATTCAATGTTAGACCTAGGATGACACAAACTAGTTAATATATGAAGCTTCTATCAAATATCAATATAAATTATTAATATAAGCGATAGAAGATCATACACCAACGAGCTTGGTCTATTATTAATCTACGGATTTATACTTGATTTAAGATACTTAAATTAATAGCAAAAGTTTATTTATTAAACAGAAGATTCAGTAAGATTCTTTTCATTCGACAAATGGAAATGCAACCCTTTTCTGTGTTTCCTTTCAATAATGAGGCGAGTTTAAAAATGAAGAAATTTATTACTAACAATTTTAAACGAAAGATTTGAAACGACAATTATAAAATGACAATTCATGGATGGCAATTTTAATGACAATCTTTAACAGTTTTGATATTAAACTTGTTTAAAAACAAACCTGTGACTGAATGGAGCTAAAATGAGAATGATGAGTTTTGGATGCGTGAATGAAGTTCTCAGAAGGTTTTTTTCAGAGAGAATGAAAGCGTTCTGGGTGGAAATGATGTTTTGCGGATAACTGAGTTATTTTGAGAGAAACAGCATCAAACGCATTCTCGTGTTCTACCTCACCCAAACAGGACCCTCTTGTGGATCCGGAGATCAGGAGGATGTGAATTCATCCAAGGTGACACTTCGGCTGGTAGAGGAGACGCAAGTGTCCGATCCTCTGGTCCAGAGTTGTCCTGGGTACACGGTGTATGAAGCGTTTGGCAGATGAACGTTCTCGTCTTTAACTTAACTTCAGAAATCAATGACTCTGGTAGAGTCTTCGTTAGCTGGTTAACAGTTACGTTTATTCTTTGGCTATTCTGGTCGGCGTGACTAGAACAGCAGGCAGAGGGTCAGGGCGGCCGTCCCTGGGTCCTCAGGATGATGTTTTGTTCCCGAACTGAACGTGAATCTGTGATGGTTACAGTTTTACCAAAAGCTCTCAGGACCACTCCCACTCTCTCCGGGAGAAAGCTTGCTCATGCGTCAAAAACATGTGATGCAGTTATTGAAGCCGTACCTAATGAGGCCATATCCCGGGCATAATCTGACTCACAGGAAAAGGATCTTCAAGTACAGGCTGTCAAGAGCACATATGGTAGTTGAAAATGCTTTTGGCATTCTTGCCTCTAGATGGAGGATTTTTTACCGGCGAGTAAACCTCCATCCTGGCAAGGTGGACAGTGTTGTTCTTGCTGTGTGCATTTTGCACAACTTCTTGATTGCACCAAGTGAGAACCAAAGAATCCTGGATGAAGCAAACCAACAGACCACACACATGGCACCAGTGAGAGACATGGGTCCAAATCAGGCATCCAGAGAGGCCTGCAACATCAGGGAGATCATTTGTGACTTCTTCAACTCTCCTGTGGGCAGTGTGGCTTGGCAGGACAGGATGGTGTGAAATAGGAAATAAGTCCTGCAGCTGAAACAATGTTGAGACACTGTGCAGACAATCTAAACGTGTGCATCTTATTTAAAAAAAAAAAAAAGGTTCTCTACTGTGTCAAGATTTTTACAATGTCTATTTGAACTTTAAAGTCAAAGTATGCCAAAACAGTAGGCTTTGGGGTGGTTCTGAACAGTGTAGTTCCCACATATTGTAGAGGATCCTA